AGCCCCGCCTGACAACATTCCGTTGAACAACATGGAACATCAAGAACCTGTGCCGTGACATCAAGCGGCTGCTGGCCGGCAGGTGGCAGCCACCATGAAGCAGCCACTATGCTAAACATTACCTAGGTAGGTAGGTAGGTAGGTAGAGAGCAGTTGGGACATTGGCAGGCATCGGCCACCGGGTCAACCAACTGCAAGAAGCCTCCACCTTATTTACAGCGCAACATTAGTACCTGACACTATGAAGGACTCAAGTCCCTGTGATGCCGCTGCTGCGTAACTCGCCATGCGTGAACTGCCTGGGTAGGTGCGTGTATGGGCCACGGTTTGTAGAAACGAACAAAATGCCCTAGAACATGTTTTGCCCTTGTCGCTACCCGCGCTTGGCGAATTGAGGTTGCTCCAGCTCAGCAACTGCTCAGGGGAATGTTTTTGTGGGGACAGAAAGTCGCAGGAAGGAAAAAAAAAAGAGAAAAAAAAGGAGAAAGCCGAAGCGGGAACTCCTCATTCAGAACAATCGATGGAAAGATGTACATATGCATCGATCTAACCCAACGCCTTCCCCTCTTTCTCCCCGCAAGGCCTTAATATCCACACTCAAACGGCATCCACAATCATTTCAACAGAGATAGGGGAAACGAAAGTGCCCCTGCATCTGGAGTAGAACGGTCACGAATCTCCCAACTTCTCGTTCTCATTCAAAGACTTCGGGAATCCCAATGCACGACGCTCTCGGCAGACTGTCGTCTGAAAGATGACGGGGATGCCAAGGCCAACACGGGAACCAGTTCAGGTACACTCAAATTTGAGGTGTTGTTCCAAGGGGGATCCTGGCGGCGGCGATATTAGTGAAGAGTCGTGGCCAGGACGAGCAACAACAATGTGTTTCCGGATAGCCAATAACATTTGCCTATCCTCTTTGTTTTGGAATTACAAGTGGTTCCTGGAGAGCAGCGTCGACGTTGAGGCTCCAGGGACCGCCATTAAGAAGAAGTAGTGTGGGTTTTGGTGCTCATTGCTCCCTTGCGTCAACCGTGTAGTATATTTGTCCTTGCTTGAAATCAAAAATAATAGATTTGTGGAAAAAAAAATACTTGTGCCTCAAGAGCCATAGACACATAACATGCAAGGTCCCCTCACCTTACTGTAGGTCCGAGTAATTTTCAATCTCATCCGGCAGATGAACGTCAATGCCGAACTACGTGGTACATTGAATCTAGATTTGACAGAATGGGGTTTGGTAGCTTGAAACGGCAGGGTTGTCCCCGTTTCATTTCTGTTTTCCTCGAACCTCTTTTGATATCGCCGTTCACGGTCACAAATCGCCTTTCATTACTCGTGTCGATGCCATTGATGCGTGTAGAACGGGCAATATGTCGGCACGGTTTGAGTAGAAAAAATATGCGGATGTGACATGGACGTCCGTACACATCACATCACCCCTAGAAAACTCGTTAGCTCGGTACTTGAAGAGCGTTATTTCATTATTTTCAGGCTGGTGAGGTGGTATTTCTGACCTGATATTTCTGACCTGAATAGCACCCGCTGTGAATGGTGTCAACTTTTTGGAGCATGTTCTGGCGTGGTTTAGGCCAATAGGAGGGCCAAAAGTCTATATAGATATTCTCTCCCTTGTTCGAAGACGCTGCAAGTCTCGCGCTAACAAACTTTCAAGGGTTGATCTGTACACTACAGCAAACCCCTTGATCTTGATGCCAACGAGGATCACAACGGAGGCCCCTTCCGGCTTGGCTGAAGCCCGCACGATCGAGATGTGATCGCAGCAAAAGTCTCAAGTTCAAAGGCTGTTGGATGTGGGGCAAGTACTTATCAATCCGTGATCACGTTTTCTTCTTCTTTTCCATATCGAGCTCCAAAGGGGTGGGTTGCTCCCAGGAACCGGGAGTGATGAAAGCTTGAACTAATTCTACGCAGGGTCCGTCCCCTACCTCACACCACACCCACTCCAATGCCTTATTGTCGTCAAATACCGTTGAGAAGTCTGTGCCATCGTCCTGGGTGATCACAGCTTGCGCCGCCGACAAATGATATCTCACCTTGAGTTTCTAGGGTTTGGCAGAGAACACGGATGAAAATGACGTCTCGTGTCTGCCACAGGCAGCGTCACCCCAGATAGGGTAGCCCAGGTTGCAAGATTGGTCAAAACATCTGCCAGACCAAAGGATTCGATCCCGTTTATGTATGGTTCAGAGGTTCTTCTGTTTATGGACGAACGTCCCCGAGCGCAAGTCTGGACTGTTAAGGATTGCTGCAAGCACTAACAAATGCCTTGATTACATCCAGGATGCTTAGCCTTTGCGCCTCAGTTTGGTGGGGATGTTATACTATAATAGCCCAATTGGCGACGCCTGCTACACGAGGCTGCGTTAGCAGACGATAACAGCGATATCACCCCTGCAGTTCGCATACCGGTGGATGCATACCTAGCTCCTCACTCACCTCGCACGGCATTCCGTCATCATCATCATCGTCGCATATACATCCAAACCTACGCTTGCGCCCTTCTTGAACAGCCCCTTCATAGCCCTTGAATTCCCTTTCATCCTCTCAGGCTGCAACGAATCCAGTCTGACTGGTGCATGTGATTAAGCGACCAAAGAAAGAGACGAAGGTGGAACATTTACACTTGAGAGCCGTTGGCTTCCGGCAGTTGAGGAGAAAAATGAGATTCTCGAAATCATAACGGGCCAAAACCGCTGTGATATCTAGCCATGGACGACTTGACTGCTGCCTTTCTCGGTCAGGGGGATGACGCCTCGATCCAGGAGGAGGATGACGGCCAACAGGGCTCCGGCTCCGGCACCGACTCGACCACCACGGCCCGGACATTGCGACAGGGGATTCTCAAGGCAGCCAACTTGCAGGACAAGCTTCTGGAGAAGTACTCGCTCTCTAGCTCAACCTTTTACCAGTACTGCGGTTACTAATCTGAGTACAAACCAGACTCCTCGCCCAAGTCATCCCCGTAGACGATGGCCAACCTCACGGCAGCGGCGAGCCCGGCGGGGCCAACGAACCCTCGGCCTTCGGCGAACGACCAGGCTTCACGGTAGGCGCCATGTCCAACAACTTTCGACGTTTCAACGCGCGTATCGGGGTTGTCTTCAAATTCCAAGCCAAAGCCTTGCGCGTGCTGTCATGGCGACGGCCCACGCACACCTTGTCCCTACTAGCCGTCTACACCTTCGTCTGCCTAGACCCCTACTTGATCTTCGTTCTCCCGCTCGCCATCGCCTTATTCGGCATCTTCGTCCCCTCCTTCATCGCACGACACCCAGCTCCCGCCTCCTCCTCCGAAGCGCACGCGGTGCGCAACCTGGGCTACTCCCCTCGCGGCCCGCCCCTGGCACCCGCGCGCACGTTCAAGCCGACCAAGGAGCTGTCGCGCGACTTCTTCCGCAACCTTGGCGACTTGCAGAACGTTATGGACGACTACAGCGTCGCCCACGACAAGATCATTGCTTTGGTGGTACCCAAAACCAACTTCTCGGACGAGGCTTTGTCGTCCGCCATTTTCGTTTTGCTCTGCGGCGCATGCGCCCTCATGACCGTCACCGCCCACCTGATTCCCTGGCGTTATATCTGTCTGGTCGCCGGCTGGGTCGCCATCTCGTCCAACCACCCCACCATTTCCCGACTGATTGGTGAGTGGCAGGCGCAGTATCTAGGAGGAGAAAAAGAACCGAGCGTGACGGCGCAGGCCGTGCACGACAATGATAAGAAACTGGAACAGATACAGAACCATCCGCCCGGTCCCAGCCCTGATTCATCGTTAGCAGCCGAACGCGCCTTCGACGCCTGGGTCCGCTCGGATATCATCCTGGACGACGCACCGGAGACGCGCGAGGTGGAGATCTTTGAGCTGCAGCGCCTCAGCGACACCAGCGGCGAGTGGGAGCCGTGGTTATTCAGCCCGTCGCCGTACGACCCCCTATCTGCGGCGCGGATTGCGGGCGACCGGCCGACGGGGACGCGCTTCTTTGAGGATGTGTTGCCGCCTGAGGGGTGGGAGTGGAGCGGGAAGAAGTGGGCGTTGGATCTCTGGAGCAGGGAGTGGGTGGAAGAACGGATTATCACTGGGGTTGAGGTCGAGACGGAAGGGGAGAGGTGGGTGTATGATATCTATAATGAGCATGAGAATGGCGTGAATGGCAGTGACAATGGGGACCTGGGGGCGGCGTTGGGGGATGGGGATTACGAGACACCGGTCAGGAGTCAAGATCAGAGTCGGTATACGCCCAAGATTGGACTCACGATCAGTTGGGAGGAAGGGGAGGAGGGAATGGGTCGGAGGGGAAGTTGGCGGAGGCGAAGGTGGGTGAGGATGGTGAAGAGGAAGAATGTCAATGCGGCGTCCAATTAGTGGTGGTCGTCTTGGTGGGTCCCCTTTGCGGCTGCTGGTTGTAATGACTATAGGAACGACTGGATTGATGGACCTGAGATGATGGACCTTTGCTTCACTGCGCTGTAGCTTGTTAAACAGCTTGAACATGCGGAAGGGGTATATTGTATTCCACCAGAAATGCCCAGTGTGTTTTTCATTGTGACCAGCCTTTTTACAAAGCCGCCCCTTTTCCGCAAGGCACTAAGTCCCTTGACCACCCGCCTTTGCCCCTACTAACATGTAAAAACATTACCATACTAATACAACACAATAAGGTATAGGTATAGTAAGTAAGCCCTGACATGTAACCGTGTTTTCCCTCTTTGGCCCCAGTGGTATCATCCCAGGAAATACCAAGAGCATCCATCAACTCGGAGAAAGATAGATATAAGCCAATCGTTCCTTGAATTCCCAGACAGCCAGATCGCACAACCCCATCGTCTCCCAAATCCATTTCGCACAAGGTATCAAACGCTACGCTCTACCAGCCAAACCGATAATAAAAAGGCAAGCCAATGAAGAAAAGAAAATGAAGAAGAGAAAAAAAGTGAAACGGGGAAAAAAGACTCGTGAAAGCTCGACAACAACCAACCACTCAGCTCAACACACCCCCAAACGGCTTATACCGATCCAAGTCCCTCAGCAAGGCATCAACGACCCCGGGGAGATGTTGATCAAGCTTTCTCTTCTTGACATCTACCGATAGCGTGACGCCTCCGTTGGCCTTGCTCCCTTTGCCTTGCTGACTAGCTGTATCGCTACCAGCCCTGTCCCTTGTCGGTGATGTGGGTGTTGACGATAATACTGGTGAAGACGCCATTGATGCAGATGGAGCTTCGGGGGTGAGATAGAAATATAGGAACTCGGTCAAGCGAAACTTGACTTCGCGGCCGGTCTCTCTGCTTTTGAAAAGGGACGCAACGGTCAGGAGACCGTCAAGACGCTCAAAGACGCGCACGTTGGCGGGTGAGTCGAGGAGGGCAACGACAAGGGTGATGATGGTTGCGCATTGGATGGCAGGGGTGTTGACGGGTTCTATTAGGTCGAGAAGAAGCTGGATTTTGGGGAAGATAGGTTTAGCAAAGTTCATGGATGGCCTTCTTTGTGTGTTTGTTTGCTCGTCAACTTACGTTCATGTGCGCAGCCCTCGAAAAGAGCACCTTGCTGGGTGGATGTAGAAGGAGAACACCCTGGATCAGGTCCAGAGCATTGAGGATAAGCAAGTCATACTGCCCGTCGCCGCCTCGGGCCACCAGAAAGTCGAGCGTTGTAAGCAGCCGCTGGGCGACGTTCCATTCGAAACCCTCCTGCAACTTGAAGAACTCGCGAAACGCTGGGTCGCCAGCAAGGTCGCCTAGGCCCTTGCGCTGTAGTTGTGGTTGTTCCCCGGCCGCAGCCGCATCTAGTTCCCTTTTGGCCGGGCCCGATAAGCATATCTGGGCGAGCAAGCCCTCGACCTGTTTTAGACCCTTCTTGATCTTTGCCGGCTCAAAGGCCGAGAGGTTGTCGAAAGCGAGCGATAGTAGGGACTCCATAGTTGACTTGATCTGTATATGTTGTGATCGGAGTCTGTTGTGTTTGTGGTTGGGTTTTGAATTCGGAGACGGGTTGCTGAAAATGTCCGATGGATTGACGATGATGATACTTGGAAAGGAATAAGATGGACAGCGCCCAATCGCCTATGATGTAATTTTGCGACGGGCAACCCCTGCGCCGAAGATCTTCAGGGCAGAAGGGAAGTGATAGCAGGGGAAAGGGTGCTTGGCGCTGGTCGTTCCCGGTTTGGCGTCTAGTGTATGGTAGACAAATAGGTAGGTATGTTGAGATACGGAATAAGTCGACGTCGAGAGACAGAGATGCTATTCAGAAAAACAATGGTAGAATTTAAGAGCAAGATGGACGTGGATGTCCCCCCAAATGCGCCGCCGCGGAAGGGGTTCAGTTGGCGCAAGGGCTAGAGGATCGGACGGGATGCTCTGATGCAAAACTGGAAGTCAAATGGCACTCTGACATCCACGCGTGTGCGCGCAGACAGGGGGTCACCAGACGACTGGGACTGGGACTGGGCCTGAGAACGAGGACCTGAAGCGGAAGTGGATCCGGCGATGTTGACCGCAAGATGCGAATTGGTCCGTTTGTACGAGCGTGATGGCGCCGCTGCCACGAAGGTCCAGGGATTTGGAGGGAGGAGCCGTGCGCTACCTGACCTCAGATTGCTTTAGGGGGCCGCTAGGCGTACGGGCTGGAGAGTTGCAAAAGAGAGAACCGAAGAGAAAAATAAATAAATGGTATGTACACAAAAAAAGGGAAGAAGGTCAGAACACAGAAAGGAGGTAAAAAAATTGCGGCTCCCCAGGTTATCCCATCTGATCATGTGCGTTGGCTGGTACCTAGAGGTAGTTTTTTTTCTTTTTTTTTCTTCAAGTTGCGACAACCCAACCGGGCAACTGGACGAAGAAGCTGTCCCTTGCTGCTGCCCGCCCAGGCCGCCAGAGCTGCCCGAAGCCGAATGCCACAGCAACCGGAACGGAGTTGACACCACGGCGCGCACACCTTGTCGGGCGCGAAACAACAACAGTTACAGGCGTACACGCGTCACGGGGTGACAGGAACAATGAACGTGGGCAGATGGGCAGAGGTGAGGTGGGGTTGTTGACTTTTGTGTTGTGTGAGGCCCGGGCCCTGCACGCTGCATGTTTCCTCGGGCTTCCCGCTGGACAATCTGGGACTACGGCGGCAACGAGGCCTCAGCTGCACAGGGCAGGGCAGGGCAGGGCAGGGCAGGGCAGGCACCCCCGGCCGCGCACCCGCCTTGCATAAGTTGGAGGTGGACCGTCCAGAGAGCCCGGGTGAACAGGCCTCCGACACGGCATCCAGACAACAACAAATCAACCACCGGGCAACGCCTCGAAATGGTCGATAAACGCATGTATGTTTCGGCCTCACAAGTGTACGTGGGAGGACGAGGAGTGTGTGATGGGATCGATCTGCGGATCCATCTTGAATCATGGTTCAGCGCGGAGTAATGAAGTGGTACTTCATGCCTTGCAACTCCGTGCAGTACCATTCTCAAATGTGCTCGGAATCTTTCTCCGCCCATGTCTCATCTCGTGGTTCGCATATCTGGCATAGACCAAAGTCATCACGGTGATATCGCGCCCTTTACACAGTACTCCGTCTTCACGTGAATCTTGCCTTTCCCATGCAGCCGGGGCTTTTTCCATGATCTTCACTTTATGCACTCGGCGCTTTCCTGTGTCAAGTCTTGCATCGCCGACAGACGTGCACAAAGTCGCCGCGTGTGTGCTTGAATCCGTTGCCATCGAGTGCTATATAAAGTGTCCAGACGTCCGCTTTCCTAAATCGTCTTGAATCCCCAATATGCATGGATGAAGTGGACTGAACTTGCACGTTCGACCGCTTTTCTGGAATACCCCTAATTTGCGCAAGGTCCACAACAGCCGATCTCGTCCAACATCTCTTACCACCTACAGTTACCTACCCATTTTTGACGAGCCCCTTACCAGCAACAGCGCGTCAATCCTTGGTTATTCTCTGTTTGTTCATGTCGATCTGAAGCCCTGACAAGAAGAGACAACATCACAGCAGAAATTTGCACGCTTTTCCACAAACTACAAGGTGAGAAAGCCCCCCCAGTTTTCATCCCTAGAAGATGCCGGTTTCAGCAGGGAGCTCCCGACAAAGAGCGCGCGAGACGGGATCGCCCGTTCGATCTTGTGAAGCTCTTTTGTCCCCTGTGAGAGCTCCCGCCCCGCATCTGAAACCCCACCACGCTACTTTCAGGTGTCGTCGGGGTTTCATTCTTGCAAACATATCCTCCGTTGGCCGCCCAAAAAGTCTCCGCACTTGCAATCACCTTGCATCCACTGCCAGGGGAAAGGAAAGGACAGGCAGGTCAGATCTGAGGAAAGCGCTACAGCGAGCTTGATCCGATTTGTCCGCCCCTAGTTTCCCTTCCTGATCGCTTCCGAGGATCCAGTGACGATGGCTGGCATGTGACAAGATCGGGGATGCAATCTCGAGTTTTGCTGGAACCGAGCAGAAAGAGGCCTTCTTCTCGGCGTGATTCAGTCTTTGCTGACCCCAGATACAGACCTCTTGGCCTTTGTCCACTCAGCAGGCAAGCAGGGCAAATCCCCCTTCTCATAGCAAAGTGAGGTAGATTGCTGTCGATTGGCACACGACCTGTCAAGCGGTATTATCGTCATAGCGTACGGGTATCGAATGTTGCCCCCGAGACCGTGAAGCTTGCCTCCGGTTGTCACACAACACGTCAAGTAATTATAAGAAGCCAGCCATAGCGCCGGCCACTTTGGATCAGACGACGCACGGGGTTAGCATCCTCTACAGTACCGACGGGTTTCCAATAATAAAACATTAAAAAAGGAAATGGAACACGTCACCATGGCCGTGACTTCCTCCTCACCTGGTCCCGCCCCGCTTTCCCTTCTCTCCAACAACGACGACTTCATTGCTCCCTTCAACATCAGCACCAAGTTCCCATCCGCCATCATCCCTCCAAGGACCTCTTCGAATCAAACAATTTCCGTTGCCATACCCTCCAATCGGATCTCTCCTGCCGGTCTAGCTGCAACACAGGCGCAAACCCGTAAACGCAAGGCCTCGGTTGCCCAAATCAGTCTCCCCAGCATGCTCCCAACTTCCTTCTCACCATACACAATGGCGCCCCAGCCACCCCAGCCTCCCCCGAACCCAGACCGATTTGCGACCGAAGACTTCTTCAGCCCCTCGCGGCGCACCTGGTCCGAAGAGAAGGAGAAGGTTCTGACGGGTCCTTACGACTATCTCAACGGGCACCCGGGCAAGGACATCCGATCGCAGATGGTCAAGGCCTTCAACGCCTGGCTTGATGTGCCGTCCGAAAGCCTCGAGGTGATCACCAAAGTCATCAGCATGCTACACACAGCCTCCTTGCTCGTCGACGACGTGGAAGACAACAGCGTCCTGCGCCGCGGCTTCCCTGTCGCCCACTCCATCTTCGGCATCCCGCAGACCATCAACACGTCCAACTACGTGTATTTCTACGCGCTGCAAGAATTGCAAAAGCTCAAGAACCCCAAAGCCGTCAGCATTTTCTCTGAAGAACTGCTCAACCTGCACCGCGGCCAGGGAATGGACCTCTTCTGGCGTGACACGCTCACCTGCCCGACTGAGGACGACTACCTAGAGATGGTATCCAACAAGACAGGCGGTCTGTTTCGCTTGGGTATCAAGCTGATGCAGGCCGAGTCGCGGTCGCCGATGGACTGCGTCCCGCTCGTCAACATCATCGGACTGATCTTCCAGATCGCCGACGATTATCATAATCTGTGGAACCGCGAGTACACGGCCAACAAGGGCATGTGCGAGGACCTGACGGAGGGCAAGTTCAGTTTCCCCGTGATCCACAGCATCCGGTCGAACCCGAGCAACATGCAGCTGCTCAACATATTGAAGCAGAAGACGGGGGATGAGGAGGTGAAAAGGTACGCGGTGGCGTATATGGAGAGCACAGGCAGCTTTGAGTACACGCGCAAGGTCATCAAGGTGCTGGTGGATAGGGCGAGGCAGATGACGGAGGATATCGATGATGGGAGGGGGAAAAGTGGGGGGATTCATAAGATTCTGGATCGCATCATGCTTCATCAGGAGGAAAATGTGGCGCAGAAGAATGGGAAGAAGGAGTGAATGTGGTGGTTCTTTGTCTTTGTCATACGCACCCTTTTCATGTTTTGGTTTGCCAATTTCTTGTTCGGATGTCCATGAGGATTGAATGTATGGGTAAGAATTCTCCTCTCTGGTCCTATCGTCCAACGAGCGATGTGGCCTGGTATAGATCAGTCAAGGACAACATGGTGCTCAACCACATGGCATTTGTTCTGGAATATTTCTGGTGGTGTTTTTGGGGATATCTCGTTTGGGTCATATCAATGAAACGCAGGAAAGCAAGTAAGCCATCAAGCATAGCGAATTTGAAACCCTTGTTTTTTTTCTTCTACTTCTTCCCTTGACTGACTGAAAGGTTCTTGGTGATTCATTGCAAAGGCAACCCTTTTTCGCATCAATCACCGCCTCCCCGCAAAACCTAGGATGCATATAAGTGGTCTCGAATTTGTCATCAATCATTGATTTTTCATGTTAATAGTGCTACTCGCCAACACTCTTCCAAGCCAAAAAGCAATTCAAAGCAACTTCACCGGCTTCGGCGCCTCCTCAGACGGCGTCCGCACGGTTTGCGTATGCGGCGAGGGCGTATACAGCGGTGATACCGATTCTCCTTCCATATCCAACGGCTCAGATCCGTACAGCTCATACCGGTCTCCACCTTCTTCTTGGTTACCTGCGAGCTGCCCAGTCTCCGAGGCTTGATGCGTCGTCGGTGACGCTGTGGCCCCAATCCCTTGATTTTCTTGCGCAGTCATCATCCTCGAGTCAATTTCGACTGGCACGGCAATATCACCCGGACCATGCGGCTGGAGCGGAACGCCCCTGTCTCTGTCTATACCAGGCGTAGTACCCGTCGATGGCAACCTAGAATCAGAGTAAGGCCCAACCGCCGCCTCGGGGCCGAAATAGTCTTGAGTCCCACCAGACCGGGACTGGACATCGGACGTGACTTCCGACATGGGTTGCTGTTCTCTCCCTCCTCCACCGATGATGGCGCCGATGATTCTACTGGGTCCGGAGCGGTGCGAGAAACTAGGGACCGTGCCGCCCGCTTCACTTGCCCTTCTGCGCCTACGGGATTGCAGACACCACCATGTCAAGACGCCGATAAGCAAGCCAAAGCCGACCACCACGCCAATGGCAATACCGGCTTTGGCCCCCGCGCTTAGATCGTGATCAGGGTAGAACTCGGCAATGCCGCTGATGGTCGGAAAGGCAGCGCGTTCGGCGCAAAATGCTTTGCCGGTAATTTGGGTGCAGCTCTGAGTAAGATCACAGCACCCTCCGCCTATGCTGGCGTCGCAGGAGGTCTGGCTGGTCGTGCAGCCTGAAGGGACCAGAGGGACTAGAGTGCTGATGGAGGACGAGGGCGTGATGGTCGCGATACACTTGCCGCCTTCGGCGCAAGCCTGGCCATATGGGCAGCAGCTACCCCCGAGGGATTTCGGGCAGAGGTAGAAGGAAACGCTGCATTGCCGCGCGCAACAAGCTGACAGGAGAGTCACCGAAGGGTTATCGCCTGTTGTTATGGTTCTTGTGGCGGCGCATAACGTCATGTCTGACGTGCAGGGAGAACCGCAGTTGGAACCGATGGCGCAACATGCTGCCTTAGTCAAAGCAGTCGAATTGGCCTGACAACTGTTGAGGATTGGTTGATTAGCATCGGCATCATCAGAGGGGGGGATCAAAGAAAATGGGCGGGAGGTATTGGCGCAACAATATCAACAGCCAATGTATGCAACCGGTTCATGGCTGTTGAAGTAGAAGCAAGAACCACATACAACTGGTCGTTCCCACAGCAGAAGCTACCACCGTCGTTTCCGATTTCGAGGCCTAAACATGATACAACATCACCTCGTCAGCCATTGTATCCATGTAAGATCCGCCATGGGTAGCTCATACACGAGTGTTGGTCATTGGGACATTGCAGCTGGCCCTGTCGCTTCTCCAGCGGACTGGCGTTCGAAGCAGCGTATTCCTGGAAATATCGAGGAGACAACAAAACGCCTGTTTCTACCGCTTGAAAGTTCTCATAAGCGGCAACGGTGACGATGGCCGGCATGAGCCAGACGAGCATGGCCAGGACGTGGAGTTGGATGGAAGCCTCCATCATGATCAAGGATGGGCTATACTAGTCTGGCTATACCCTGAGATCGTCGGTGGTGTGTGGGTACCTGAAGAGAACAGCCCTACACCATGACTCTCAGGAGGGAACGAGCGACAACGGCAGCAACGGTGTTGAAGGGGGGCGACAGATGGGACTGCGAAGCAAGCAAAGAAGACGAATGGTGAACGGCTGCTTTACTACGTAGAAATTTCAAGGCCTGTCAGCATTGTACTTGCGCCAGTTGACAAAGAAAAAAAAAAAAAGCCGTGGTCGTCTGCCAAATCCCGTCCTTGTAAGCGCGCCGAGGGGTGGTGACCTGAAGGACCCGGGGGCTACCCAACTGTCAAGGTTCCATTATTTCCAAGCAACGTGCCGTGCAAGTCTAGCACAGGTAAAATCTTCCCGGTGGCACAGCGGACCAGACCTTCGGACTGGTTCTAGTGGCGGGGCGGAGAACTGAACCTGCACGACATATAAACAGTGGGAATTTGGAAACCCAGCGTTCTGAACATCGCCGTTGTTGTCCTTGCTGACAGTGGGGGTGACAGTGGTGTGTGTCCTCTCTGTGAAGCCACCGATGGTAAGAAACGTCTCGGTCTTGGGCGAGAGAGCTCGCGAAGAGAGAGAGCCAAAAGCAACCCAAGTCCCAAAGAGGAAAGTGAGGCGAGTTGGTCGGTCGGTGGTAGCAACACAAGGTTCCATACAGCGTTTCGCAACACCATCGCGTCGTACGGCGGTTCTGAGCTTTGACTGTCGTCGCCCATGTCCTTGAGAAGTTCGATATACGTTGATGCGAAGAAGTTGAAAATTCTTGTTCGAGATGCCAGCACTTTTGCGATACCATCTGGGCCTCGGTCGATTTGCGCCAAGAGGTGTGGTTGAGTGATGTCGCACGTTGAATACAAAGAAGCCTCAGTTGTACGGTTCAGTTAACATTACTTAGCAATAGGTCGAGATCCTCCCGTCACCGTTTCTGCATATACGGATGGGTCGCTCTTTCTCACCGACGAGGATTCGAGGCCCTCCGCGCGGTGAAAGGAAGGTGACCAATGTGTTGGAGAAGGCACAATCAGCACATCAAACGTTCCGCATCACAATGAAGCACTTCCCTCTATAATCTTATCCAGAACTCTCCCTGCACGGTTCTGCCCTGGGCTCAGATGCCTGTGAATATCTACCTCTAGGTCTACTTCTGCAGCGCAATGAAAACTTGGGGAAGATGTTAACAGCCCTGCCAAGATTCATGACGCGGAACTCGATCTCTCCGGCATCACAGACAAGATTAGAGAGCGTATAAATGCGGTTGGTGCACCAACGTAACATCAACTAGCATGGACCAGATCTAAGATGGTCAAGGGAACCGTCCTGGTACCTCTTATTAAAGTATATTGGGGCTGGAATGCCCCCGGACAACGTCGGTGCCTGGAGAGACCAAACGAGACAAAGCATGGGGTGATTCATGGGAACAAGTGATTAAGTGTATGGGAGGCGCTGCCGTTTGATCAGTGTCTACACACCTCAATCTTCCCTTGCACGCGTTGTCGGTTTTTCTCTGGTAACGTCGTAAATCTCGTGTTAAGTGGCTAGTATACGCCTTCTATGCAACAATGCGGTCCTCTTTCCTTCCCTCTGTGCTTCGTGCAATTCTTCTCGCCGCGCCGCTGGTGAGCGCACACCCTAGCGCAGACTCCGTCGTGGGTTCTCTGTTTGTGCGCGCCGACGATGGTTACGAAAACACCGTCTGCCGGCCCTCGGTAAAGGAGGGATCCGACAATACCACTCCTCCATGCAGCAGTCTCGAGAACATCGAGTACCAGTGCGCCCCCAACGGAACCTCACCCCTTGCTCTGGAGGCTCATAAGCAATGTAAGCGACCTCGTTCATCCATACCTAGTTGATACACATAGACAACCAACTGACAATTCGACCTTGATTTCCAAAGGCATGTGCGGCGGCTCCTTCTTCACCGAATGGCCCTTCTGCCAACAATGTCTCTACGTCCACGGCCTGCGCTCCGAGCGTGATGTCAAGCGCTACACCGAGGTGCTCTCCTCCGTGGAAGCCATTCTGTGCGACGCGCGGGCCACCCCGACGGCCATCTTCGCCGACATCTTTACCAGCGTGGCAAATCAGGTCCCGGAGCCGACTGACGGCGCCACCGTCAGCAGCGACCAAGCCGTGAGCAAGACGGACATCAGCTACTACATGACTACCACGATCAGCCAGGGTCCTGGGAAAATCACGGGCTCGGCGTTGAGTGCTACTGCTACTGATGCGCCGTTAGCGCCGCAGACTTCGAATACGGGTGGGGATGGTGGTGATAATAACGATGGGAAGACCACTAGTACTACTAGAGGACCTCTTACCGTGACCACGAGCTCATCGGCTAGCGGTGCTAGCAGCATGGCTGCTGAAACCTCCTCGAAGCATAATGGTGCTGCAGGAGTCAAGGCTGGTGTCACGAGCATTTTTGGTGTTGCTGCTGCCATGGCGGTTGCTGTGATACTTCATGTGGAATAAAAGGATTTGATGATGATAATAACGATGAGACGAGACGGGGAACCCCGGTGGGGACGGATGATGTGCGTCATCTCTTTGAAAAACGACTGAGGCCATGTCAGACTTTTCATTACCTACGAACAACTCACAGTTATATAATGTATTCACCTCCCCTGAAGAGTCAAGGAGCCATTGAAAGCAAGAAAAGGACATGAAGGTGGAAGAGTGACCAATATCCATGTCTGTTTTCATATTTTCTGCATGCTTCGTGGTGGAAATTGGCTTACCGCATATTCACTTATAGTACATACTTAACTTGCCCATCACTATATTCATCATCATCACTTCTCTTTGTACACCAAACCCTTGTACAAAGTTTTCTTTTCATATGTGCTTGAATTTCAATTCAAAATCTACGCCGCCGCCGCCGTCACCATCCTCGGTTCCGAGATCTAGTATGCTATCCCAAAACCGATCGCTCGCCCAAGGTATCTCATTTCTCACATCATTCAAACGCCCACCCATGGATCTGATTCACTGATAAACAAAGCCCGAAGCCGCTCCATTTACTGGGGCATGCCCTCGAAGGGCTTCGCCAAGTGCTCCTGGCAGAAGGGGAGCTTGCTCTTGGTCCAGATCTCGGTGTCCTATATTGTCATTGTTAGTTAGTTATGTGATTTTGTATGCCAATTAATCTCAAAGGAGAAGCAAAACGAAAAAAAGAGGGAAAAAGGGAAACGCACAGGCTTGAGAGTCTTCTTGATCTCAGTCGACAGCGAACCACCCTTGAGGGCAATGATCTCAGGAGCAGCCTCGGGATCGTGGGCGATGGGAGAGCCGCACTCCTCGCAGAACCAGCGCCAGACGGCGTTGCCGGAGTCGGCGGTGCCCTTCCACTTCTTGACGGGACCGTTGACCTCGAGCTTGTCCTTGAGGACTACGGCAACGAGGGCTGTTTAATACGTCAGTATTTTCGTGCTTATTTCTCAGTCTGGCCGTCATGGCGAGTGCGAAGGAAAAAAAAGGGGGACGGGATTATATCCGGGTTCGGGTTATGTGCCAGGGGTAGGTAATTCTAGCGGCCATTCACCATGGAGCTCTAGCTGGAGCTACCAAGTTCGCACAGCTGGGGCCAATGGAAGCCCTGTGCTGCAGCTGCAGAACAATGATGTAGATTCTTGTTGAGATATTGCGGGGGTGGGGCGGGGTAGAAGGAGCTGGCTCCATTGAGGAACTACCCCGAGTTCGGTGGTGAAAAGAAAGACTGCTATCAGAGCGCTTCTTTCCACCTCTTATTCTCGGAGAAGCCTCCCGGAGTTCAATTTTGGGAGTCAGACTTACAGTAGGTAGAGCCGGACTGACGCTGGCAGTCATCGCAGTGATCATAGGCAGTGAGGAGGGGCTCTTCAGTGTCCTTGACGGTGTAAGTGACAGCCTTGCAAAGGCAGTGACCGGTGAGAGGCATGTTGGCGGGTGTGGGGGGTTTGAATTGGAAAAATTAAAAGGCTTTGAGTTGAGGACGATGTCCGAACGAAAGAGTTGAGGACAAGGGAATGGGTAGAGCTGGTGAGGTTATATAGGAAGCTGATGGATGAAGAACTGAGTTCCAGATAGGAGTCCACTTAGTCTTTATAGAAACTGGAGCATGGCATACGTGGTAGGTACGTATGCACAAAGCGCTCTCCAATGCTTCCCGCCCTAGGTATCAATCAGGGAAACTCAAATCATGGTCTCCGTAATCAAAGCCCGAAGCTCCATCCATCCTACACCTTCGCCGTCCGAAGTCTGGAGTTGGCATACGCGCCTCAAAAACAGATGGATCGGTTCCACGCTGCACGCATGGTAATCTTACTGCTACAACCAGGATCTCAAACCCCACTCCGTCACCACCCAACACAGCAAGTTGACGGTGAGCTCCTACGAGGCTGGATATGAATATCACCTGCTGGGTGAGTAGCAGCGGGGCTATCATGTGGGAGGTTCCGGATACCGATTTGACGATTATCCATGGGTTAATAGGGGTTGCCGTTGCCCGGGTGGGTTGACTTGGCCTGTATGTCAGTAATCTGTACATGATCGTCCGGCCATTGAGATCCTCAGAATATTCCCGAAGCTAACACAAAAGTACCCAGATATGGGACTTTGGCTGACATTTTAGGTTTCGGTTGGTCGCCGAGGAATCACTAGGTGCATACGGGGTAGGTGTCAGCGGAGGCATTATGACAGATCCGCCAGGTCGCCAACGAAGGTTGTAGTGTAGTCTCCGAATGCTTCAAAGCCTCATTTGCTAAACAGGTCCCAAACAGCATCCACGTAGCTACCCAACCTCTAATGACAGCAATCAAGGTCCCTTGATATACGTGTATGTCATCCGGTGTACTAGATGATGGAAGCGGCGTTAGCTGCCTCAGATATCCTTTATCGACAGGACAAAGTGAAGACAAGGAGGCACAGCACCTGCGGCAGTGGGGTGAAGGAATGAGGGCCCTTCCGGGATATGAGAGAGTTCGCTGTGAACCTCAAGAAACCAGGACTTCCGCGATGAATGAACCACGGCCCGATGTAACGCAAAATGGCGATGATCCCGAAACCAAGTTCCAATATGTGTCAAGGTAATGCATTATCTGGAGTATTTGGAAGCTCGCAAGGCTGTTGAGCTTGACCGAGTCTGACCGACAGAATTTGTCATTGTCCTGCTTTGAACCCCGCGTTGGGGATGCCGGTAAACGGAGCTCCACAGCCGGAGACTGCTTACTCTTAGCTGGCTGTTAATACAGGGGGGATGCGCAAGCATAAATGCCGAAACACTGTGTTTCCCGCATCATGATTTGGAATTGATAACATTCAGCTTCGAGTCTGGTCAGTGTAACCGGCACCTCTCTGCTACGCTTACCTTGCTTCCGAGGGCTGTAATCCCACGCAACAAAGTAATACAGTGGAGTTGTCGCTACTCGAAATCCAGATACCCTCCATATCTCACATACTCGGCGTCGGGCTATGGACCCAGAACTCCGCCTTGATGGACTTTGTACGAACCAAAACTCCGAATGGTGGAACGGCCTGTCAATTCCCATGGTCAATTGCTGGCACCTATCAAGCTCCAAGCTGGAAGGAGTAGCCTGTCGGTTAGTCATTGATTCCCAAACATCCAGAATACTGACCGCAAATGTTAGCAATGTCTGCTGCACTTAGCTTTGACAGTGGTGCTTTTGGAAACATGATAACCTCTTCCTCACCTTCGACAGCAAGCCAAAGATTCGGTGCCGAAGAGGCGCACCATCAGTCCCAGCGACGATTCCAGCATCCGTCAAGTACGCCATCACAACCCCAAATCATTCTTCCCGACCATAAAATGGATGCCCTCTATTCCCCTTATCGCCCGCAGATTCAGCACGGCGCCCTCTCGATAATAGATCTCTGTTAGCAACTGCCACGCCAAGGGGGCCATGCGAGCATCCATGCGAACCACGCCAATGCCACAAATCGCTGGACTTCGAGAACTGATACATATCCGAATGCAATCCTGTCCGCCAAGAACAGTTTTAAGACGCACTCCTTATACGCGGCTTTAGTGGCAGGATCCTCGTGTGTCAAGACGTAGGCATCCATGAACGAAGGACGGAAATTTCGGATATCAACTGCTGCTTGTCTTGTACGTGGGACTGCGTTCGAAGTCAGTGGCCTCTCGATGGAGTCGGGTCGTCTTCGCAGGCGTTGGATGCACTTGAAGGCCAAAAATTCCCAGGGATTTGAGATGCTCAGCGGTGGCGGAAATGTTTTCCGCAGAGCCAGCGCGGGCAAGACTTTTGGGTTGGACAACCATATGGTGCAGTTTTCGTTCATCTCACTGAGGAAGGCCTCGATGTCGTGTGCATAGTACACAAATCTCGAGTAGAATGCAGGCGTAAGGACCTTGAACTCAAGCCTCTCAATGCTGCGCTCGCCGTCAGCGGCCTCAGGAGAGAGCATCCTTTCAGTGACATGGGCTATTCCGCTGGCGTTGTAGCTGACCTCAAGAGGAATGGTCGCCTTTTCAACCAGATGTCGCAAAAATCTTCGGAAAATCTTCTCTAGTTGCGACTCAATGGGATTGGCGTTCCGAGCGATGGTCCCCTTGGAAGGCTCCGGACGAAACCAAATATGAAGTTGGCGGTAGAAGAACAGCGCGCGAGCTTGAAAGAGGATACGAGGGGCAGTGGCAAAACCTACCCATCCCCAGGATCCTATGAATCTGGCTTTTTGGTAAGTGGTCATGGAAAACGGGTCAATGGCCGGGCCCTCATGGTGAAGGCTTGCCACCAATTTGTCGTGGCCTTCCGACGTTGAAAGTCTTATAGTGACATTGACTATGGGTTTTCCATCGTTGCGTGGGCTCAAGGGGTCGGTGGCTGTCATGGAATAATGTCCTTGGCGTGAGTTGAACGGCGACACATGGAAGACCTTTGGCCATGCTTGTGTGAAGGGAATTCCATTGGCCTGCTCATTTATCGCGCCCGCGGTCTGCTTCTCATAATCCGCCGGGTTGCTTTGCAGGTGATAGTTCAAGCAACTCGATTGATAATTCCTTTTCAAGAAGTACATGTGTCGTTCACCGAAGGTATTGTTCACTTCCAGGATCATGGCGGCTAGTGATTTGTGCGAATCGTAGAGGTACCAGAAGGAAACGGGGTTGAAATGATAACAGAGGAATCGAGCTGCTGTAACCAAGTAGGCATGAGGGTATGTTGCCGGATCAACTCCCTATGTGGGTTAACGAATACCTCGCAGGGAGAGTGCAAGTTTGCATACCTGAGTTTGAAGGTAACTATCGAGCTTCTCACGCAGGGTCAGCTCCCCGCTCTGGCGTTGCAGATAGTCCGAGGCATCCACGTCGAACCATCCCTTTTGCAGCCGTGACGATGACGAGAACCATGAGGTCCAGTCCGATATTTGTTTAACTCCGACCGAAACCATGTTGGCTGCGTTACCTCGGTAGCCGACAGGAACTCCAACGACAAGATAGGCGTAGGAGAATGTGTGGC